TCCCGCAGAGCTTGAGAAAAGCTACGAGGAGAACCAGAGGAGGCTGGAGGGGAAAGCTCGTCAGCTGGATGGCCTGGAGGACAAGATGAAAGCCATCCTCACCGACATCAACAAACAAATCCAGATCTACAACACATGCCAGTAACTCACTGCTGGAAAATATCATAAAGAAACATGTGCATTATTGTATTATTCTGGCATTTGATCCAGGTACATTAACTGTACAAAAGACTTTGAAGACATAATAAATAATAGGCGTATTTTACCAATCTGCAAGTCAATCTGCATATTTAGTGCAAATATCTGTCAGGTAATATAATATCACATATGTAATTGTTATTTGTGCACATTATTTTTGTTTTTCAAATAATCTGGAAAAGTGTGTTTTAAAAGGTATGTTTTGAACATGAAAAAGGAAAACTATATTTAAGAAAAATTTCAATTGCACTCAAATTTGAGTGAAAGCAATGCAATACAAACAATCTGCAGTTTAACCATTAGAGTGACTGTTGAGCCGGTCAATATAATATTCTCAAAATGTTCTCTATGAAGTCTCTAACTACTGGAAGTATAATCTGAGCTGTGCTCATCGCGAGAGAACTTTATGTATCCTGCAGTGCACAGTGGCTTCTTTCAGTATGAAACACAACCATTCTTGGGTACATGAGGAAAAAAACATCTGTTTGATCGTTTAAATTCACAAGTAAGAATAATAATGCTTTAATCATTTTTTGCCAAAAATATTATACAAGGTTATATTCAAGATCCATGTTAGGATCATGCATTTTACAGAATGGAGAGATAACCAGGGTCATTGCATTTTTATGAATTTGGACATGAATGTATTTCGAATGCACTCTGCCTTTATACAAATGATGTGACCATTTTTATGTGAAAATATAAAAAACATGTTGTCATTGCCAAGCCAATAGATATTACCAGTGGTGTTTTCATGTCTGGAATAAGATATGCCTATTACCAGATACGAATACATTGTAAAATGAGCGTATTCTAACAGCGAATGCTAGAAGCGTACATTCTAGCCCACAGCTGTAATGGTGCTTTTACTGGTCAGTCTACCTATCTGTCTCTAAATGAGTTAACTTTGGTCTACAGTGAAATATCTCAACTGTTATTTATATCTGATAAACAATAAAGTGTTAAAGACTAGCTGAAATTCCCTCGAAAAACTAAATTGAGAATGCAGTTTAGTTGTATGGGGATGTCCTTTTGTTGAAAAAGGGTTGGTAAATTAACTCCTTTTATATTGTGGTAACAAAAAGGCATTATCATTGGAAAATATCCAACTATTCCTTTTAGCATGAACAAGATTATTTCTTATGAATGCTAAACTAATGATGCACAGATTGTGAATGTTTGTATCAAATGTACTGTGATGAAATATATACAATATGCAGTAATGGATAGCAGTTTTCCAGTGTTTAATTGTGCCTTATAGAGTGGACATTTATATCCATGTGCTATTTGCATGACTATTTGTGTTTTCTGAAACATATACCAAAAACTAACTTTCCTCAGATCGCCATTCAACTGCTGCCAAGTGATTTTATAACTAATTCCCGAAGCAAGACACCAAAAATAACTTGAGTTTAACTGTATACAGTTTTGTGAATAAAGGTTGGATAACTTAACAACTCTCTGTGTCGAAGTAGCTTCTTTGAGCATCTTTATCAGGAGTTATTTAATGGTTTATATGAATACTCAATTCTGATTGGTAAATGTGGACATTTCAGAGGTTAATACTCGCTAACACAACTCTGCTAAGGATCAAGTGACCCCTAGCAGAGGTGTGCTAAGAATGATTAAGGGACAGGGGCGGATCTAGAAAAATATTATTACATGGGGTGGCAAGAGGGCGGCAGGAGATTTTGAGGGGTGGCATCCCCTGGCAGAAGTACAGTATATGCTGATTTAATCGAAGTCATATCAATCAATGTTAACCTGGAAATCCACAATATTGATATTTTAACTCAATAACATTAGGTGACATTATTGTGGCACATCAGTGAATCCTTAAATATAAATATATACAGTGGCAGACATAATTTAATAAATTTTAAATGAACTATAACTGAATGACTTTGTTTCACTCTTAGACCAGCAGGGGTTCCAAATATATGCAGACTGCTGCAATAAGTACATTAATTAACTGTCTCATTGATGTTTGTCTGAATTAATATGATAATATTAACAATCATACCTTTCCTATCAGCTGTCAATCACTTTTATGATTCACATATTCAGTGTTATTATTAAATAAACTATATTTTTTGGACGAGTTAATGATAAATGCTCATCAAGATGCATGCTCACCCTCCTTCAAATTTGAAAGACAAGTAATTACGATCATATATCAAAATTCAAAAGATTCAAAGGAACAGTTCAGCGGCCCACAACTTTACTGCAAACAGTTACAACCTTGACTTTACATCAGAAAGAACAAACACTAAAGAAGTGACTAACAGCATCAGTTAGGGTTAAAAAACGTGTATTCAGCTAAAACATATACATCGCTGCAGTTATTATCCAGTGGAAAGTCCTTACCTACTGGCCTAGTTAAATCAAAGTGGTTACACTTAAGGTCATCATCTNACAAACACTAAAGAAGTGACTAACAGCATCAGTTAGGGTTAAAAAACGTGTATTCAGCTAAAACATATACATCGCTGCAGTTATTATCCAGTGGAAAGTCCTTACCTACTGGCCTAGTTCAAAGTGGTTACTCTTTTTTGGCTGGGCGGTGTAGTTTTACACTCCGTCTTATTTGACTTTCTCAGGACTTAAAAAAGTTTTTTGGGGGCAGACCCCCACAAAGAAAAAATATATACACACATACAAGATCATCATCTTAACAGTTTTTTATGCTCATCCGTGAGCAGAGCATCAAGTTGGCATGCCTATAGAGAGGTGAAGTCCCTCCCTTTCCGGGGGACCTCCATGCAGTGTTAATTTTGGCAGCTGTTTTTGATTTAGTCTTTAGACGAAAATTGTTATTAGTTTTAGTTACATTTTAGTCATTCCTATCCTTCATAGTTTTAGTCTAGTTTTAGTCGACGAAAACTCAAAACGTTTTAGTCTATTTTTAGTCGATGAAAAATTACATTTTTGTCAACTTTTAGTCAAAATGTTTTCTCTTTTTAAACCAATTCAGTTAATACAGGTAGGCCTATCTGAAATTGGAATCAATGTGACAGTATCAAGTGTTGAAATTCGTAAAGCAACATTTCACTCTCTTAACACTTTACTTGTGTAATATCTAGGGATGGGTATCGTTAAGGTTTTCTACGGTACTACTAGTCTTATCGATACTGCTTATCGATCCAGTACTTTAACGTATTCTTGTATTTACCTTTAGAAAAACTAACAAATTGTTAACCGAATTAATTGCTTTATTTAAATGTGAAATAAATGAAATATATATAATTATGTTAAAATATTGTCAGTACAATATTTTAACATAATTATATATATTTCATTTATTTCACATTTAAATAAAGCAATTAATTCGGTTAACAATTTGTTAGTTTTTCTAAAGGTAAATACANTGTGCTCCTTGGTAAGATAGCTCCAACATAACCTCTCCAAGGCCCGCTTTTTTTTTTTTTTTTTCTTTTTTTTTTTTTTTCTGCAAAGCGAGACCTCAAGGAGCTGAAACAGCAGGAACGCCTATTTCTTCGATGGCACAAATCTGCGGAGCTTTCAAGTTTCTCCTATGGGTGAGTTTGATTTTGAAAAGGGCTACTTACTTTTGGTAGTGTTACTATCTTTCAAATGAAGTGGTAATAAGCATGCATGAGTTGAACTGAGTTTGACAATAAACTGATAGAAGCAGAATTTTCCAGCAATGTAATGTATTAATAAATAAATATATATATTATACATGCTTTTACATAATGAAAAAATACACGACCAATGTATATACTACAATGCATCATTAAGAAAGCCTAAAAACAATCAAAGCTGATGTTTTAAACCATTCCAGGAATTTCTAAGACAGCTGACAGCATCATCAAGTTTTACAAGGAACATGGCTTGGCCCCAAGGATGAGACGTGGTGGTCGTGTGGTGACCAAAGGGTGTTGTCCTTTGAGACATCCAGCGAATTGTACGGTTCATTACCAACCTTTGCAGATGTCTTTTGCCATGCCACTTCCTGGACGGATTCCAGGGTTTAAGAGGACGGACATCAGTGTTCTACCAACAACTGAGACCAAGTCCTCTGTGTGGCGGAAATACAAGGTTCAGATGCAGGAGAAGGGTGGGTATTTTCTTATATTTTAATCTTGTTTTTTGGGGTTTTTTTACACGAGGAGACCTCAATGGAAACTAATGATGAGTAATCTAAACAATGCCTATCTTTGTCTTTAATCACCTTTCCAGGTCACCGTGCTGCTGGCAACAGCACATTTAGGAAGCTGTGGAAGGAGCTGACTCCCAGTGTCATTATTGGGGAGGCCGATGACAGACCTATGTTGGTTCTGTCAGAAAAACAACATTGCCATCTACCGCAGCTCCAACTTTCCCGACTGTGTGTCAAGTCAGCGAAGCTCAGGAGCGGAAGAACACCTCCGCACCGTGGGGGTGGAGCGTCAGGCTTACCAGGAGATGGTCGCCAGCTGTAAAGAAACAGCTAGAGAGCTGGGTGTCAAATTAGGACCCAACCAACCCTGTAGCAGAGACATCACCATCCACTACAGCTTTGACTATGCACAGCAGGTGAGGTGTGTGAATGTGATGAATGCTGTGATAATCCAGAATGTTTGGAATGTAACAATATGAATATTCACACATTTTTAGAATTAGAGTATAGATCACTCATTAGTTAATTCATCTGTTGGTCTGGTGTTACAGGTTCACTACCCCAGTGACCCTCTCCAGCCCGGGCCCATTTACTTTATGGTTCCCAGGAAGTGTGGACTGTCTGCTGTGAAGGTGTGGACTGTCTGCTGTGAAGGTGTTCCTCAGCAGGTAAACTACACTGTGCACTTTGTGTCCAGCAGGCTCAGTCCAGTGCTGCAACAGTTCTTCAATCTGTGTCCATGGAACCGCTGTGCGTCTCCTTGGACACCATGAGTCTCATCAGTTTTCCATGGAGCTTCTCAATCTTCTTTACGTCCTGGGCCTGGTCTGTCTTGTACTGTAAACACTGTGGGGATGGACAGAAGACAACATGAGACAATATTCAATTGAGGTGACAGAATTATGGTTAATGTCATGTACATTATAAAGTCGCAATATCAGAAACATTATTCTAAAATGTGCTCTCCTGTCCGTGCCTTCATGCTGCCTGGAAATTGAGGTCTACTTAATCTTCCTCAAGGCCCATCAGTCCAAGCTTTTTAACAGAAATGTAAAAATAATACATTTAGCATGAGTTATTGTAGACCACTCATGGCCTCACTCACCACAGCGTTGTCGGTCACTTTGATACACAGGTTTCCGTCGCAGTGTCTGTACTTTAGAACCACCCGAACCTGGACAAGGTGAAGTTAAAGTCAAAGATCAGAACCACTTGAACATCTAAACATGACACAGCTTTGGCTGCTGGGCACATTCTCTAGCCACCGAGCTATCCAACTAACACTCGGTCCTTAGCATGCTAAGCTACTTCACATGTAAAGTGTTTCACCTTCCTGGGGTCTGTCAGATACAGCTTCTCTGCTGCACGGGAAAACTCCTCCCAGGTCTGATAATAAGGCATTATCAACAAAGTGCAGTGGCTATTTTTTATAATTATAAACAGTAATATTGTTTCTGAATGTGTCGACAGCTCTGCTAACAGAAGACCACATCAGCACTAGTGTGAACACAGCCAATCATATTCAAGTGAATCTCCTTCTTCTTCTTTTAGTTTAATGGCGGTCTACAACCCAACGTGTAAAGGTGCATGCTGCCACCTACTGTACCGGAGTGTATCAAGACTGAAAGACAATTTATTTAAAGGAAACGTTTAAAAAATAAAAAATAATTCTACTAAATAAAGCCCTTTTAGTGGAACTTCTCCCAGCTCCACTTGGACCAAACATAATCTCTTCTGGGGTTAACGTTTCAAAATTAAAGCCTGTTACCCATAAATTGTGAAGTTTCTTGTATTGTTGAGGAATATTGAATAGTGAATACAAATCAAACATATGGCTGACTTATTTGGTAAATCAAATTTTGTGTTTTTGAACCACTTATCTATGGAATGCCATTCAAGCCAAAATTAAATAAATACTTACATAAATACTTAAATAAATACATATATCAATAAATATGCCTATGAAATAAATAAATATGGTTGTGAAATAAATAAATGAGGCAATAAATATATAAATGTATGTAATGTGTGTATTTATTTCAAGGGACTTTTATTTCAAAATGCCACATTTATTTATTTCAGGGGACTTTTATTTCATAATGCCACATTGATTAATTTCAAGAGACTTTTATTTCATAATGCCACATTTATTTATTTCCATTTCTTATATTCAAATGAACAGGGCGTGGTCAGATCACAGATCCAGACCAAAGCAACAGCACCACAACACTGTGTTTGCAACTGTGTTTTTCAAGCTGTGGTTGCAGTCGAATAGTCCAAAAATCAGCTTGTATCCTATCCACTATTCCTTGACCTCTGTGTGAAACGTCACGGGTTAAGGGATAGTGGATAGGAGAATTCAAAAGGATTTAGGAGAAGAGACTGCGGTGCTTTGAGAATCCGACTGCACTTACACTATCGACGTATTTATGATGCGCCAGCTGACGTCATAAATGTGCATCTGCTGCTGCGGGAAAACTATGGAAACTACAGTTTTCTATACAGCGAACTACATAGATGTATAATAAGAACAGCGGACTACTGTAAACTCATAGATATACTGCACCGTTCTCTGATGGTGTTGTTTTATGCTTTATGAACGGGGACAACAGAGAAACAAATATTTTTAATGGCCAACGTTGGAATTTAAATTAAAAAGTAAAAAGGTAACGTTCATATTTCTTGATTATTATAGTGTTGAACGTTCAAAACAAAGCACTTCGGCAAGTTACCACATCAAAATGCGCAATAAGCACCGTAACTTTCATGATACTAATTTATCGGTCATAATCGGTTGTTTCCGTGAACGGCCAAATGTTGTGTGACGGGAAATGCTGCGGCCGCAAGGCATTGTGGGGCAGCATTTTTGTCAAACCTCCTTTCCTATCATCAAGAGCAGGGGTGTCAAACTCAAATACACAGTGGGCCAAAATAAAAAAATGGGTACTAGTCGAGGGCCGGACTGGTTCAATGTTTATTGCAAAACTTATTGAAATGAGTGTGTTGCACATATTAAACCTGGGACTAACAAAGCTTAAATTATTGCCTATAAAAACAACATTAAACATTAAATAATCAGTTGCATTCACTCCTTATGGCTCTATCTGCAGCTTTTCCGGAGTCATTTCTTATGATTACATTTTTCTCCACAGGCCAACAACAGCTTCAAAAAAACTATTCCCCTCAAAGAGAAAACCAAACATGCCCTGTTGTCTAAAGGAAGAAAGTGCAGAAGGAAACATCCATGTAAACTCAGTTTGCTGCTCTGTGATGCTTGTTCAAGCCAGATACTTGGCATCTCATCTTGGGTGCAATCTCATCAATGTTTGGGGTCAGGCTCTGAGCTGAGGAAACCCTCAGGATAGAGTGAAGGTGTGCGTGCAATATACCGATGGGCCAGATCTAATAGTAATTAGAAATTATCCTTCGGGCCGAAATTAAATCCACCAAGGGCCTGATTTGGCCCCCGGGCCTTGAGTTTGACACATGTGATCTAGAGAATTTGAACAGCTCTTATCATGGCTGCCACTGAGGTACTTTCGGGTCATTTCACTCCGTTAGGAATGTTCCTAAGCTAAACTGACAATTAGACTGCAGCCTTAGATTATGACCGATAAATTAGTATTTTTAAAGTTAAGGTGCTCATTAAGCATTTTAAAAGGGATGTGTTAACTTGCCAAAGTGCTTTGTTTTGAACGTGCATCACTATAATAATCAAAAGGTGAAATATATTGCTCTAATCGCTCTTGTTTCACCCAGTTTCACCGCGGCTATCAGCTGTGTTCACTTGCATCATTCAAACAAGACGCGCTGGCCAGGGGGCGGGGCTTATATCCATGTAAATACTATGGTAGATACCAACTACAACAACATTAACATATTTTACCGTGATTTAATTGTAATACACGTTTAAAAACGATGCCGAAGTAAAAACATACTGATATTGGTTAGTAAAAACCATCAATGCTTTGAGAAGTGTGCAGACAAGACGGCAGGCGAAAATCTTTTAAAATGCGTGTTTTCTGAATGGAGATCAGATCGATCAGGCCAAGCTAACGTTGTATCTGCTCCGTCCACACTCACAACAACATCATACAGACATAAATAAAGCAGCGACTGTATTCCCCATGACACAGACAGTCTGTGGTTTGTATTTGTTTAACCTGTGTCCAGTTTTGGAACAGATATGAGGAGCTGTGAGCTCTGTGTGCTAACAGCTAACGGCTGATGGTTTGGTTTTCTGATTCAACGTCAGTGACGGCAGGCTGAGATCTTCACCACTGATTGGCTATCGCGAGAACACGCCACGCGAATTTGACGCTTGAGTTGAAAAAATTCAATCGCGGCATTCGCGTCAACCGCTTCATGCGCGCCGCCGGAGCGAATTTGCTTCTGTCCTCGTCTTTGCATTGACTTGACATGTAATCGCACTGCCCCCAAAAATTGTCCGGTGTGAACGCAGCATTACACTCATGTTTTTTCATGTCAAAATAAACAACATAGTTGGCATCCAGCTTAAAGATATTCTATCCTGCTATTTTTAGGCATATATTATGAGTGTCAGATATATACAATATATAAAAAACATGTCTATGATGTGTTTTGCTAAAAATACCAAACAGATCATGCATTTTAGACATCCCTCATATCCCTCTATATCAGCCCTGTTAGAGAAGTCCTGATTCTGGGTCAGTAGCTGCTGGCCCCGCCTTTCATCCTTTCATGGTCTCCACAATCCTCTTGAGAAAAAGTTCACTTCGAGGCGTAAATTCACCAAGCGGTAGTTTTATAAATGAATTTCATGGTTTTCATTTTCATCAAATTCCCCCACCCGTATGGGGAGGTGGTTGCGAGGAGACCGGACCTTTATAGAGAAAAGAAACACCCATAGGGCACTATTTTTACAGAATACAGAGAAAAGTTAACCCAGGCCTGCTTTTTACAAGGTGTGGAAGCTGAAGAACAAGGAGTATTACACGATAGGGTAAAGAAATAAATTGTCGGTACAGCAACCGCACCCGAGTCGTATTTTAAGTATCTCTAGTTTTAACGCAGGTTGGGGGGAATGTATGACTTGTGACGCGTGGGGGGTATCTAAATAAAAAATAATTAATACCCATTTGAGATGATTCAAATGAAGGGTGGACACATCACTAATAAATCCTCTCCTTCTTTGGCACAACCAAACCTGATACCAACTCCTAACCCCGGTGACAAGTGATTTGTTTATGTAGTCTAACTATCCTTTTGTGGCCTGTCCTAAAACACACCTCGCCCTTACAGTCCACTTCTACCCCTGCCTTAGGCGTCTCGTACATCTTGACTCTACGGTCTTACCATTGTGTAAAAATTCCTCAATCCTTATGGTCCTACGAGTAATTTTTCCTCATCCGATTAGTCCGTATTCAAATCGGCTCGTGTAATCGTGCCCGACAGAACCCTCCGCTTACCTAAAAAAAGTATCCTTACCTTCCACGACTAATTAAATAAGCATAATAAAAAGACATCCATCCCTATAAACATAATAATAATAATAAAATTGTCCCTAAAATCTTACATGTGGCACTTACGGTACTAGGTGTGAGGCCTTGGGAATACCCCACCGCCATTAGTGGTAATTTTCAGAGGATAGTTACGATTTTACGGTGAAAAAATACAGAACATATGAAATTTTATTACACAAGGGCCAGCACATTCCTTGAGGGTTTTCACCAGTCTTTTTCTTTTTGGGCAGGAGAGAAAAAGAGGCATTGGTTTAGAGAATTTTTGCGAACATGTTGCGCCCCGACTAGGTCTAAACGCAGTCTAAAATACCCTGAATATAGCCTTTACCACCGACCGAAGATGTGGGTGCCCGGGTAGTCTTTGCAACGATAGTCTTTGTTAAACGTTGCGACAAAACCTGCATTTAGAACCAGAAAGAAATTAATCGGTTCGTACCGATGTGAGTCTCGGATTGGACATGACCTCTCTCATACAACATTTTTCGACCTAATTTTTTTTGAGTGGAACACCATTGGGAACAACCTCTTTTTTCGTAAACTTCGAGGTATGACAAAGTCTTTATTAGGAAACTTCACCCAAACCTTTTACTACACCGTAAATTAGTGTCGTCGTAAATCGACTCTTAGACAACTCAATAGTCGGGAAGAGAAGAGGACGTCGAGACTACGTACACCGNCCATCCCCACAGTGTTTACAGTACAAGACAGACCAGGCCCAGGACGTAAAGAAGATTGAGAAGCTCCATGGAAAACTGATGAGACTCATGGTGTCCAAGGAGACGCACAGCGGTTCCATGGACACAGATTGAAGAACTGTTGCAGCACTGGACTGAGCCTGCTGGACACAAAGTGCACAGTGTGGAGTCTGAGAGACGGGATGTGGCTGCCTATGCTGATTTAATATATCAGAGATGTGATATTAATACTGTCCATTTTTGATTCTCTCAGGATTTTTATTTTTTATTATACATTTCCCATTTAAAATCGTATTATCATGGTTTTTTCAGGCATTGTGATCCCGCC